TGGATCCTTTGGTATGATTGAATAAAGGAAAAGTATGGGATTTTTTTATAAATTTGACATGTTTCGTTATTTATTTAACTTCATCAGATTATACTCACAAAATCTCTGAAGAAGCCAAATAAACAGCAAACCATGACAAATTTATAATGATTTCGTACTTGTTCGCTATTCATTTAATATCTATCTATCTATCTATCTATCTATCTATCTATCTATCTATATATATATATATATATATATATATATATATATATATATTAAAATTTGTGTATTTAGGCAGTAATCCTTCTTTCATGCACATTTCATTAAAAACGACAGACAAGATGCTTTTATTTAGTTTTTTTATACAATTTCTCATGCGATCTAATAATGTTTTTCTTTTCGGATGATAAATTATATAAAAACTGTCCGAATGTTCTTTTTATCCGAGCACTTTCGGCTATACATTTAGCCATTTTCAAGAATTATATTTTAACTGTTAAAATTAGAAATAGCTTTTTGTATGTATGTTTTATAAACTGTTTTTTATTTTTATTTGTTTCAAAACACGGTCAAGATATTATGTCCATGTTCAAAGTTAATATCATTAAGCCTTGGTTTGTTTGTTTTTATTAATAAGGCTTCCATTATTTTTAGCCTTTTTTGCATGTAGATGATGCTATTATATTAGTGTTGTCAACAAGTATGTTGCGAATAGTGTCATGTAGGTGCTAACATGTATACGTATATGTATTCACATTTTTGTATATGATCATTTATGTGACTTTCTTGTCTACATCAGATATAATCTTAAATTTTTAATTATTTTATATTAATTTTTCTAATATTATCCTTATTATTTTTTATTATTAATATTATTTTTATCCTTTTTATTATATATATATATATATATATATACATGTATGTGTATGTATATATGTATGTCTATGTATATTATAAGTATATACATATATGTATATGTATGCATATATATATGTGTGTGTATATGTATATGTGTATATATGTATATATACTTATTTTTAGTTCTTTAACTTTGTTCTTTATTTATCTCTTAATTAATATTTTTTATATATTTTATATATTTTAATTTATTTAACTTATTGATGTCAAATATTATTATTATCATTATTAATTTGAAACTGTGATGATTATAATGCGATGAAGCTGTCGAAAATGAAATGAATATTAAACACACGACTGTACCTATTTTAAGTCTGATCCCTGTATTTTAACTTGTTCAGCCCGTAAAGAAAAAAAATCATTTCTAGGTCACACTATCGACTCATGTTTAATTCTTCCTTCTTTCTTTTCTTTTCAATCCTTTCCTCTCTCACTCTCTCCCCACCTACTCTCTTCCCCTCTTTCTCCACCAAATTTTTTAAACCTTAAATTGTCTGGACAAATTGACTCGATTTATTAATAAAACTTCGATCTGAAGATATGAACATATGTATATATTCATGAAATAAATTATAACCGAAATGGATTTTTAAAGATAGTCTGTACTTATTATTATTATTATCATTATATTGTTCTGTTTATTACATTGAGCTCTTTTGGATTCATATTCTCCTGGAATTATCCCTACCAATTATCAACGGATAGTATATATATATATATATATATATATATATATATATATATATATATATATATATATATATATGAGAATGTATGACGTTAATGTCGGAAAAAAGCCCGGATAGTAAAATTTGCAAATAAAACTAAATTAAAACAAGTTGGTATCTGGTAGAAAATTGAGTGAGTTGAAATAAAACGGCTAGTGTTGTGATTTCAAGTCCAAAGAAAAAAAACATTCGAGTAAAATATATATATAAAATATTGTATATATATATTAACACGAAACAAGGGGTAATCGTCTACTCCTGCTCAAAAGATGTGTGTGTGTGTGCGTATGTGTGTGTGTGTGTTTGTATCACAAGGGAAGGTCAGGTACTGTAAGCAACCCTTCCGCAACTCGAAATATACTATAATAAACCACAAAAGGTTGATAATCCGTTAAAAAAACAAACATATAAATCAATCATATACATGTATTATTAATAATTGCTATATTTATAGATAAAGAGTGCTCAATATCGGAGATAGAGCATGTATGTATATAGATATAGTGTGGACATAAGGATCAATACTACATGGTAACTGTCAGTTTCACGTTTCAAGTTTAAAAATCGTATTGAATGTGAAACTGATAATAACCATGCACCGTTGATCACTATATCCACACACAGTCTCTCTCTCTCTCTCTCTCTCTCTCTGTGTATATATATATATATATATATATATATATATATATATATATGAACATTGAGTCACTTTTATATTTACATATGCTCTGTTTCTGATCTTCAGCACTTTATTCAATAAATATAGCATACCATAAAACTATATATATATATATATATATATATATATATATATTGTTCAGGTCAGTTAAACCAGCTTTCTGTTGCCTCGAGTCTTTTCTTTATTTTTGTGGAAATTGTCCTGTATTAACTGCTGTAGAGGAGGGTTGATATTCGTTTGAGGAGGTTGATATTATATAGCAGTTCAGCCATTTTTATTCGTTTCTAACGAAATTTTCGAATGGACATTGAAATAGCAAAAGATACTTTCCAAAAACTCAATGGTGGAAATTAATGGCTAAAAAAAAAAAAAAAAAAAACCCTACCAGGCAAGAAGGGAATAAACAGAGAATAGAATAAAAGAACACTGAATTTTAGATTTTTTTTTTTAAAAGAGAATGAAGATTTTTAAAATGTCAGTCAGTATCTTAAGTGTAGACTTTTTTTTTTTTTTTTTTTTTTGCACAAAGCACGGATTACTCATTGAGGATTGAACTCGATACTTTAAGAAGACCGACAAGTCAAACTGGCTAACATATGCCTGGGTGCTCGGACGGACTACTATTTCCGAGGTTGCGTACATACATATGAAGACAAACTAAACATGAATAAATTAGAAAGAATTGTATAGAAAGCAAAATGATACTTGAAAATAGGCGTTAATTTTTTATTCAATCTCAATATCGAATGAGAACTTCTTTTTCTTATTATTACTATTGATTCTCACATTTCTTTTTTTTAATTTACCAGTTTTAATCCGCGCATGCGCACTACGTTTCATTTGGACGTAAACATAAACAAAGATGTTTGTAAACAGACCCGTTCTGTACGGAGTCATTAACAGTTTTATATATATATATATTTATATATATATATATATATATATATATATATATATATATCACAAGTTACAATGTATCACTTATCACATGTAGTGTCTGAAACCTTCGAATAATAATAAAAAATAATGAATGAAAACAATTTCAAGAACCTATAATTTTAAATTTTAAAGCTGATTGTAGAGTGGTGGGGAAACAGAAAATGTCTGGCCTTCTACTCCTTAAATTAACACTCACCGTCTCTTTCTTTCTTTCTTTCTTTCTTTTTTTACTATAACAGTCTGTAACACACAAGGAGTTTGTTGTGTGATTTTTGACGACATTACCTGAAAATGAAAATTAAAGAAAGTGTTTGATCGAAGGACAATTGATTTTTTTCATCGACTGTTTTTCTATCAGACGTTCAAGTAAACATTAATTAATAATATTAATTATTATTGTTGTTGCCTGGTTACCACGAAACTGTTTCCTTTGTTTAACGACTACAACCTTGAAGAAAATAAGTAAATAACACGTTTAAAAGATCGCACAGTTAATCACTTTCTTTGTGTCTTTTTACAGATTTTTCCCAAAAATGTTCTTAACCCCTTACCCACCGGTGTAGACGTGTATATACGTTTTTAACCAAAAGTGTTTTTTTTTCCATAAACATGTCCAAAAAATAACGATCAAAAACCAGCTAAAAACAATCTTAATTCTTTTTAATAATGCGTCTCTGAGCTTGAAATGAGTCCAACTGTCGACTTATACGTCTGGTAGGGGTGTTTGCCACCTTTCGGGTACTTCAAGGTGCCTCAGTTTCTTTAGTTACTATAAAAACAAATAAAAAAATTCGTTTTTAAAATGAAACGTTTTTTTCCCAAATAAATTGGCGGGAAAGAGGGTTTAATTTTCGTCAACTACAGCGACGATGATACACACAGAACCACTCATAAGTGTGACCAAAATAACATTCTAGCATTTTGCTCGTCTGATGACAATATTTTATTCATTTATTTATTTATAAATGACTATTTTTACCCCGGTATTAAATTCGTTATTATCCATTTCTATAGTCATTTTTTTTTTCAGAAAAAAAATAAATACCCAGTCAGAGGTGTAACGTCAGCGTGTCAGCGTGTCTGCCTGCGTACGAGTAAGCACACAGACAGGCAGGTAACCTTACCTACGTAACGTTGTTAAAATCGCTCTCGTGTGCACACGTAGCATCTCTAGCTCGCTATTTGGGCATATTTAATCTGCATTGGGGACCCCAGAATTGGATTTTGTATCCGACTAAGTTAAGAGTAGCACACACACACCAAGGCGCACACAAAGGCACAAACACGCGCGCGCGTGCCCACACACATATGCATATGTGTGTGTGTATACGCGCGTGCGTGTGCTTGTAGATATATATATATATATATATATGTGTGTGTGCATGTGTATGTGTGTGTGTATATATATATATATATATATATATATATATAGAGAGAGAGAGAGAGAGAGAGAGAGACAGAGACAGAGACAGAGAGAGAAAGCGAGAGAGGGAGAAAGAGAGTGAGGGAGGGAGACTATATATCCAGAATATAAATTAAATTCCAACTTTAAAATTCACAACGCCCGCCCTTCTTTGTTCACTTGTGTAGTCGCATCAATATAAACATTAATTTTTCCTCCAATGAAGTTCAAACGCACGAAACGTGTCGCGCGAAAACGTTTTAAACTTTGATATCGTTTTTTTGACTAAAATTGTTCTTGACATATAAAAATATATATCGTCTCCCTCCCATATATATATATATATATATACAGAGAGAGAGAGAGAGATGGCATAGATAGATAGATAGATAGATAGATAGATAGATAGATAGATAGATTCTTATTGCAGGGATATTGTAATATAAATCCAAATAGAGCTCAATGTAAAAACAGAGCAAATATAATAATGATGAAAGCGGAGACTTTTCAAAAAATCGTTTGAGAATGGAACGGACTTATGGATTTTAAATTTAATTCTATAATTAAATTTAAAATATTAGTTTCTGTTTTGAAACATGGTAATTCTTGTTTAGCGATGGAGCCAAATTTTTAAAATAGAAAATAATTATAATATTAAGTTCTGCTACTTTGTATCGAGCACTGTTTTTTAAAATTAAAAATAATTACTAAGAACACCGGATTGTAAATCTTACTGTTCTTTCTTCTTCTTCTTCTTCTTCTTCTTCTTCTTCTTCTTATTATTATTATTATTATATATATATATATATATATATATATATATATATATATATTATAGAAATTAGTGGGTGTTTTAATCCGAAATTATTTCTTTTCAACATAAACGTTAGATTTCGTTGTTAAACATATTTGAGAAAACATTCCTGTTATAAAGGAAATTTAATGTTTACCGGCCAGAGGTCGAAAAGTCCTTGCAAAATCCGAGTAAGGGAGCACCTTTTATTTAGTTGGGCGTTTCAATCGCCAGGTGAACTGACGGTTGTCACTATCACTATTCAACATAAGGATCTCAACTCAAACACTTGTAGCCACTAAATATTATGTTTATAGCTTTATATATATATATATATATATATATATATGTGTGTGTGTGTGTGTGTATTTCAGTTAAACATATGACAAAGTGGCAACATATATTTTGTGACGTGTTTCGACCTCAGCGGACCAAAGTAATATTTACATTGAAGCGACTACAGATGCGCACGAAAGCGAGGAGACGCTGAGAATTTCAAATTTGAATTATTTTTTTCTTTTTAAATTTATGTTTTCCTATTTAGTTTCTTTTATTTTTATATTTTCGTCATTTCTTTTTAAATATCTTACATTGATATCTTTCTATCTCCTGTAGCTCTGCCATCCATTTTCACAAACACTTTAGGTAGGCTAATCGATGGTTTTGATAAAAGCAGATCTTCCAAGAAAGGTGAAATGATGTAAGAACATGGACACTAATTTAATGTGTATGATTTAGCGATTAAAGCACTTTCTATACATTTTCGTCACTGTAAATTGATTTCTTTTTTGATTACATTAGTGTTCTTTAAATCAAAATTTTGGCCAGCCTCATTACAGTGAACAACTAATGCATTTAATGTGTTACTTTGTAAAATATCCCTTTTGTGTTCATATAATCTTTTACTTAAATTCCTTGAGGTTTCTCCGGTGTATTCTTTGTGGCAATTATTACAGGTAATGAGTAAATTCATCCTTCAAGTTTTAGGTTATTATTTTGTTTTGTATTAACAGTTTAACTAATTCTTTTATTGTTTTAGAAGTAGTTTTAATAAATTTTATGTTAAGCTTAGATAAATTCTCTTAAATTGTAGCTGTGATGAAGCAAACATTTATATAAAATGTATAAAAATTTACATATATACTTTTCTTATATGACTGTATATATACAAGGTTTTTTTTCTGTCTACTGAGACATTTCTCCAAAAATGGGAAGTCAGGAACAAATAAATTTAGTTTCTCATTTCGTCAATAATAAAAAAAAAATATGTGAGCTTGTGTTTGTTGTGCTTGTATGTTTATCTGTCAGTTTTTATTTCCTCTTGCACGTTGTTTGTGACTGTCTGTACGTACGCGCATACGCATCTCCTTGTGCGCACGTGCGTGTGTGCACTCTAGCGCATCCGTTACCATTTTGTGCGTGTGTACATAAGCATGAAATATATATATATATATATATATATATATATATATATATATATATATATATATAAAAAAAAGTAAATTAAATAGAAATAAGAAACAAAGCAAAAACAAAAAGGAAAAAAACAACACAAAGTATGTCACGGCGAAGAAGTACTTAAAGAGTGCTCAAAAGCCCGGATGTAAACAAAAACTTACATCCACGCCCACACTGATTGTACCGGGCGGGAAAAGAGGGTCTTATATCCTTTGTTTAAATTTATCGACAGTTTCCATTTTATTTATTTATTTAATAATATCCACCGCAAACAAATCAATCAACGATTAATATGCCAGGGGTTACTGGTATTGAAAGAGTGCGAGAAAAAATATTATTAAAAAGAATCAGGAAGACAGTAGATAACGATTGACATTGCATTTAAATGTTTGAAGATCAAAGTTGACTGGCAAGCAAGAAGCCAGAAGAGATTTCCACCAGCGAAAATTGAGCGAGAACAATAGAAGAGTAATCAGTAGGACAGTAGATAACGATTGATATTGCATTTAAATGTTTGAAGATCAAATACATTGAAGTCAACACTCAGAGGCGACAGGCTGTTTCATGCTGACGATTGCATCGGCATGAAACAGCTTGTCGCCTCTGAGTGTTGACTTCAATGTTCACTTTTATATTTATATCTACATACGCTCTATCTCTGATATTGAGTACTTTATCCCATAAATATAGTACACCTTAAAACTATATTTCTTCATATATATATATATATTGTCATCCGCAGCTCATCAGTGTGGCTAAATTAATAAATACAGATATAAGCAACCATAAAATGCGATCGATCACGCGTATATATAAATTTGCAATTATATATATATATATATATATATATATATATATATATATATATATATACAGGTGTAGTAAGTGCCGGTTAACAATGTGGGTGAAGGAAGGGATATCTGTTCAAATATATCAGCATGCCGCTTAAAAGGGTGGAGAAGGAAAGGATGCATGCTTTTAAATGTATTGGAGCGTTTTAACCATCTAACGTAGCCAGCTAATTGTTCAAATATCATTTCGTCTCTGGGGATATTACGATGACTGCAGTATCGGAGAATGGACAAAATTTATTTATCTATTTTGGTTTTGGTTGATTTTCCATCTGGATGTGTACGCTTCTATAGATCCACTCTGGGAAAAGCTGCTCTCGTTATCATCGGCTCGCGGCCATCATTCCTGTTTTTGAAAGTTTTCTGATTGGCTGGACGGACTATGTATTCTCAGAGATGGTGAAGTTTTGATCTCGTTGTAATTATTTGTTTATTTTTTTTCTTGCATCCTAGTTGTGAAAGCTTTTTAATTAGTTGGTCGAAATATGGCTTTGTAGCATGCTGGTTATTATTATCCATCTATTTGGTGAAAAGTTTGTGAAATTTTGGTCTTCGTGTTATTATTCATTTATTTTTTATTTATTTCTCTATCACTACACTATGTACCCGATTTAAACGTTACCTCTCCAATTGCATATCTATATAATATATTTCAACGTATATGTTCAAAAGCGATTATTGTTTAAACGAATACACTAAGTACTAACTGACAACGAAGTGCAATCTTAATTGTCTGAAGAGCACAGTTGGCGTGAACCTCAGAGTTACGGTTTTAGATCGGTGTCCCTGGACAGATTTCCTTGGTTGATGGTATTGTAACAACTCTCTCACTCTGTCTTTTTCGCTCGCTCTCTCTCACTTTCTTTCTTTCTTTCTTTCTTTCTTTCTTTCTTTGTGTTCTATTTCACATTTCGGGTTTCTTTCTTCTTTAAGCATTGAGTACTGTTGGGTTTTGTTTAGGTGAGTGGCTCTTACTTTTTCTTTTTCATTTTTCTTTCTTTGCAGGTTTTGTATTGGTTGCGTTTGTTCCTGATACTTTCCCTCCACTTCATACTCAACAACAGCCAGTGTGACGTTTGCTTTGTCATTTTCAGATTTGGAATGAACGAAGGTTCACGTGCTAAAACTGTGAGATCGATTTTAGCATCACGTGACAGATTAAAGGCATTTTGACACATGGGCACCAAGACCAATAGTTCTCAACCTTTCATCGTCCCCGCGTACCCTTTCGTCCTGCCCGGCTGTGTTCGGCACACACTTTGAAAACAATACAAGATAAACTGAATGGACAACATAGAAGAGATATCAGAGAAATTATTGGTGGGCACAAATTTAACATAAAATATAAAAATCACATGTTGATGGCAGACACTGAAAGAAAACTGCAGGTATCTCTAGGTAATGAAATAAAAAGAAAAGCGAGAAGAAAGGACTAACTGTCAATTAGAAAACAGAATCTATGGTCATTAGCAAAAGGGGTAGCATGTGAGGTACAAAATAGAGATGTCAAAATAAAGCAAGTACAGAAATTCCATCTGTTTCTTTCTGGATGTTAGCAACAGTTCCTTTGTAATATATATTCTCTTCAAAACTGATATTTTCATCATTCTTTTATCGAACCAAATTTTGGTTACTCCAAGTCTTTCTTTTAATTTTTCTCACTCATGATGAAATTACCTAAATTTACAACCATATCATACAGTTATGTGCCATGTGTGATACACGCTTAGGTGATCATGTATTTTTCGATACATGACTGAAGAGGCAGATTTTTTTCCTGCAGTAGGTTGACATTTCTTTCTGCGGTAGAAGAGTTGCCATCCAAGGCTATAGAACCCGATCTGTCCTGCTATTTATCCATAGCTGGGGAGAGAAGAAGAGGATTCATACATTTTATGGGTATTAGCACATAAGTGAATGTAATGGATTTGACTGGAATTTGAACTCGGCTCTCTGACTCTTCATTCCGAGCCACTATTCATATCTTTCCTAAGGGTCAGTCAGTCAGTTATGTGCCATGCGTGATTCACGCTTGGCGATCATGTATCTTCCGATACATGAATGAAGAGGCAGAATTTTTTCCCGCAGTAGGTTGCGATTTCTTTCTGCGGTAGACCAGTTGCCATCCAAGGCTATAGAACCTGGTTTGTTTGCTATTTACTTGGGGGGTGGGGAGAAGAAGAGGATTCATACCTTTGCCAAGGGTATTAGGACGTAAGTGAATGTAATGGATTCAACTGGAATTCGAACTCGGTACTCCGATTGCTCAATCGGAGCCTCTATCCATTACTCCACCGTTTCACTCTCTTAAAACTCTG